ATAAAAACAAGCGCCATCAATCAAATCAAACTGAGTGATACTTGGAGTACAGATGTAAAATAAAATATAGATCAAGATTGTAAGATCGTATACCCTGTTGCTTAACTGTCATAACGTACCAGAAGGTCGCAAGTTCATCGTCGGCTGCAGCACCAAAGACGAAGAACCATCGCCAACTGCTTTTGAAGGTCTCGCTGCCGATCCATTGAAGCGGTTATGATGGGAAAAAGGTGCTTTCGGGTTGGAACCGGGAGAGAATAGACGACTGGGGGCTTCCAAAGATTTAAGCTCCATATCGTGTTTCACCTGCTCCTCTGACAGATATCGCTTCAGCAGTGATTTCTCCACTGTCATTCCCATGGCAATGAAGTTGTCATGAACCGCAAATGTGCACTTGAAGTCGTTCAGCTCTCCGCAGTTGAACAAATAACACATATATACTACCTAAAATAAAATACCTAAATAAAATGAAAATAAACAACATAAGACAGTTCAGCACTATCTGAATCATTAAGTCAAGTACGATTCAAATGCAGCAGATCAACTGAAGCTACTTTTCTGTCTGATTAGATGACGGTGTTTCAATGACGCTTGCCGACATATTCTGCGTTAACAACAGCATTGCGTAACTCACTGAGGAACATACAAAACACACGTAACAGTAGACGCTACGAAGTAACGACAGAATTATAGAATATGAAAATTAAATCCTTTAGTCTAATCATCGGCTGAGAACATATAATGTAGTATGAAGGACTTCATATATAATATTCACAAAGGTAAAATATATTCTTCATCAAGCCGCATACACGATTTATACCATGTTATTCAGAAGACTGTACATAAGGATACGTCATGATCATACATGAAATATTCTTAAGCCACTGCTTCTGCAATCTCCACGAATAGGGGGCTCGGAAAGTCGATGTAGGGATATCAGAACATATAATATTAACCATGTTTTGGTGATAAAGGTACTGTGCTTATTCATGTAGTGGCACCTTCTACTTCAACAATATACGGCATAAAACAGATATGAACAATATATAACGAGTACTGAAATCGAATATTTTAGCGCAACAGCACAACGCAGCATACATGAAGCTACTGCTAACATAGAACAAATATTTTAAATTTCTCTAATACATAATACAAAATGCATATAAGATTCTTAGTTGCATTACATATAGTCTACTTAACCTTAATTAGCATCGTCAGGTTCAACAACTATGTAGAAAGAAAGTCAGATGCCGCTGACCGAATCCACGGAATGCCGATAGTGGGGCAACCCTTAGATATTGTGGCTAGCTACGAAATAAGCAGGGAAATAGAAAACTGGAGAGAAAGTTCTAACGGAGAGTTTGACGACAGTGCTACGAATGTATGACGAGCCGACAACAGGAAAAATCGGCTATAGAAAACAGGATATAACCGGACGATTGCGCGCTGACATGCAGCCATCGAATAAATATATCGCCGTAAAAACCAATACATCATTAATAATATTGACATTTTTCACATATTTTGACACACACGTTTGCATTATAATTAATAAATGACCTCGTTGCGAAATATGACCACATTGCACTGTTCATCTTTGCAGCATGTGGTGGCACAGGCACTGCCATCGGCCACTTTAACCGAATATAGGTATTTTGCGCCGCGGGCAATCGACTCGCGACTTTTGATGATCGTCCGATTGCTCACATCAAATGAATTTAGACAGACGTCGGCAACAGCAAGAGTAACCGTTGAAAAAATATAATACACTAACGAAAACACAGCTATAAACATTGCGCACGTTCAACGGCGCACGGACGCTTATACGGTGTCAAATGCAAATGATTTACAGGTATTATTGAATATGGTGAATCGACAAAATTACTGTATCGTGCTGGAGTTTAAATTTATCTAATTGGAGAGCGTTCACCGAACAGCCGGCAGGTTCTAGCTTTCGCATTTTTTTTTAGTAAATAAGAACATGTTGATTATCGTTGCAAAACAAAGAAAGAACTTTTTCGCCATATGACTGTTTTTATGCGTCTTAGATTACTTAAAGTTGGCAGAAATGAATGGCGAGTCTCAAGGTTCACCGTTGTTCGCTTTTCAAGTGGCTCCCAGATTCCATCGAATGTCTCGCATTTGAAAGCGATCTCAAGAAACTTGCCATTTCCAGGTACTTTGCTTCTTTTAAAAATATTTTAGCCCTTTGCTTAAATAACTGCTTTGGAATGATAATGACATTTCAGTAGCGTATTAGGTTATTAGTATACCTGAAATCGTCCATTCTGCTTCTTAACTTGGCACTGTAGTAGTCTCAGGGGTTGTCTGAAGTAACCCGTCTACATAGTAGGGCATATGGTTATATGTACTTTCATATGATGATCTGAAAGCGTATGAGCTGTCCGAGTTGACCGAGTTTATGACTGTTTATTTTCGTCGTACTACTGTTTATTATTTTCGATTTTACTGTGCTGTCTTTTAAGAGCTGGAAAATCGGTCGAAGTCTGGGATCTCGTCTTTAAGCCTGTCATAGAAAAAGTACAATGAATAAAAAGCTTAAAATCTTAAACCAGAATTCATAGTTTGTGATCTAGGTATATTATGGCGAAGGCCTCGGAAGCTATCAAACGGTCCGGTGGTGTCAGCGGAGGCTGTTCACTGCTGGATACAACGGCTGCGTATATGAACTCGATAGTCACTCAGCCCTTCCTAAGGTAAACAGATATGCTGCTCCTGGAATCTGCTGTTTTCGATTCACGTTGCTCGGTCACTAACTGTATGATATGATATCCAGTTTATGCATCCATTTTACGTAACTCATGAACGGATGAAACACTAGTCAACAGAAATCTCCGTTAGGTGTTGTTCAGAACGCCCTGTTTTAATGCACTGCTCCCACTTATTTTGACGTCTGGAGAATATGACAATATCAGACGTCTCCTGAGGACCGTGGGTATGATAGATCAAATGGTTTTCATGAGATATATCGCTCATAAACAATTCTTCTTCTGTATTTTTGGTGAGAAGATTCTTGCTTACTCTCTACAGTGATATTTTCGCAAATCGCTTCCTGATAACTCATATGGAACAGCGTCAAACCTGTCCACTGCAGAACTGAAGCTTTTCGTAGCTTTTCTATTCGTTATTCTTCATCATATGGCACCTAATGAACAACCACCGAGAGGTTGAACTGCTGGACTCTCGTCTCGTGGCTTTTTACATCGCCGACGAGTCGCTCCATTTTCTTCATCTACTGTTCACTATTTAACTTTGCATCTACTTTGTTCGTTTCAGTTTATGAATAGACGTTTCCACAATTCCGTATCCTTGTAATCGGGATAGTCGGCAGGTAAATATTAAAGTTTGTAGTGTATTGAATCTTGAAGTTAATTAAACCGTTCATCATCAATTTTCATCTGTCTACCTCATTTTTCTTCTCTTCATATTCCTCTTTTACTGCAGTCCATGGTTGGGATTCTTGATCTGGCACATATAAGATATTGACTAGATATGCTAAATTTGCTTTTGGTAGAAGGGCTGTAATATTATTGGTTCTTTTAGAGCCGGCAACAGTTTACGACCAGTGCGATATGGTGTATGGAAAAGAATCCGACGGAGACTAAACTTGCGGTGAGTTTGAAAATTTTCGTATCCATAAGCGAGTTAATACTTATCTTGTTTACAGATGTAGCTATGTAAATATAGTTGTAGAAAGGAGGGAAAATGATCCCTCAAACAGGCTTCATAATACCTCTCTGAATTCCTATTGTTTCGGTATTTTACGCTGTACGACATTTAGACTTGTTTGATTCTTTATATATCTGATTTCTTCAGGAATGCCTATCAGGAAGAGATTATTCTTCTGAGTATCACAATTCATATTATGCCATGAATTCCCGATGTAGAAGACGTAATACAAGGTTCCGTGATGCATCACCTGATCAGCAGGGAAATTTTTTCTGCTTTTTTTTCGGTCGAGGACAGGTCTGCAGTTTTACCCTGCATGACAGAGGGTAGTATTTAACTCCATTTCACCTTATAACGTCCTCTCCTGCTTGTGTTTAGACTGCACATGCCATTAGCATAAGAATTGTGTCGAGTTATTTACAACTAACAGCCAGTAAGATCCAGTTAATGACTGATATAAGCGAGTGTAAAAATATGAATCATTCGTTCAACAAACACACTGTACAGCAAATTTATCGAAAATCGAACAGGTATTGAAATCGGGTGATTTTAAGGTTTGACACAGCCTTATTTTTTCATTTATGACTAACAGATTTATTTTATTATGACGTACAATAAATGATAACGTAATGGTAAAGTCTAGA